TTTGAGGTCTCTTCCAACCCAAACCAGTCTGATTCTATATAGCAATACCAACCACAAAAGGCAAGGATGGGGTGGGTGCAATTTAGTGAATGCTGCTATCCTAAAAACATAGCATCAATGCAGAGATCTGAGCAATCTCAGTTTTTAAGATGAGTTAGCTTTCCATTTTTTTAAGCTGCTGGTGATGCAGGAAGAAAGACTTCTCCTAGAGAAGAGGCATCCATTTGTATATTTGTGAATCCTTCTCACATCCAAAGGACTGTAGTGTTGCAATTAGAAGCACAGCAATGTCAGTGCAGGCAGCAAGAGACCTTAACTTCATTTACAGAGGATAAGCAACCCTTACCTCCCACTTTGCCTGTTTAAGTAAGTGTGAATCAGTAACCAACTTGGTTTGCTCCCTAGCATTTGTATGTCAAGCACTTAAGCTAATCTTAGGGTAGAAAGAGGGTTATAGCACCATTAATGTGACAGTAAAGTATCTCACTTCCTCAATAAAAATGCTATTCCGTATTATTTTAAGCTACTTTTATAGTTTTACAAGGTGTTGCTTCCTTTCTAATAGACATTTCACCCCTACTCCGCACATCAAAAATTCCTCCCACTAATGCTGTTCACTCAGTGGTAGCCCTCAGCGTTGGAGTCAGATCTGCTAGCCTTACTTACATTTTCTGACCTTGCTGAAACAGGTTTCAACAACACAGTAAGCAAATACTGTTGCCCTATGTTAGCTCCTTCTGAGCTGAGCAGGTTATGGAGATGCACCCAGCACATCAGCTGAGTTTTCAAGGAATGATTCTCCAAGTCAAAAATAAAAGATGCTAATACAGCTATACATTGAACTATTTCCTAAGCACCTTCTCAAAATGATACAGGGAGAAATTCTGCTTTCAATCCTCATTTTCAGAGGTAACACCCACCCTTCCCAGGAAATTCAGGTGCTGACTCTGAAGAGTCAGGTCAGCAGCTTTCTAAAGCATGAAATAAAGTGATCCATACTGGTCACTCTGCAGTAGAAGGTCAAAACACAATAACCTTTAAGAAAAACAAGATCATGTTTCAGTTCCATAGGACTCAGCTCAGAGTCAACATACTCTACTTCATTTGTCTGGTCTCTTGGGTTCATCTTGGTAACAACAGATTGAGCAGATTGCAGGCTGCACAGAAGGTTAATACCTTTACAGTTAGCAATCAGACGGGACTATATTTTTTTTAAGATGGTGACATATTTCAAGACTTACTTGTTTAAACACTTTTTTACGTTTAACCTTTTCAGCAAATGAGTGTTCCTTTGTAATTCAAACAACAAAGCCAACATGGGTCTTTGTTTGCATGGGATCCTTTAGATAAAATAACCCAGCTTCAGTACTTGTTGTATAATAGCATGACAAATCCAGAAAGAGAGAGAGAAGCTTCTTCGACATGTGCAAGGCTGTGTATGCACGAATCATGCAGGGCAGTGGGCACCGTTAAAAATCAGGTTAGAAACAAAAGCTCTAAAAAAAAAATCAAAAAGATGGTAAACCATAGCTTGGATTACAAAAGGCATTTCAAGGAACAGCATCCTTGAAAAAACCCACTAGGTAAAATGCGCACGAGAGAAAAGAGGACAGAATGTTTGCTGGCTTGTGTGGATCCCCTTTCTTCATATAGATGGTTCCCATGGCTGAGTCATGCCAGTTTAATCAGCTCCCACGTACTAAATCCCTCTCTGTGCTGTGTTTGCTCATTACTCTGCATGCATAAGCCCCTCAGCTTTGTTGCTGGCTAAATATACCTCCCTCACTGTCTGGTTTGGTTCTGTGTGGCTGCACAGAGAGCTGCCCTAGCACAACTGAGGAAAAACAGAGAGGTGGAAATCAATGGCCAAGCACAGGAGCTCCTGAACGCCTCTCAAGAACTCCGCAGGTGACAGGCACACTCACAGAAAGATGACATGAGGCAATCGCCTTTCCTAGGCACAGGAAGGGACTTGAGTGCTTAATTCAAAGCTTGACATGCTGTTAGTCAGGTTCCCTGAAATTTAGCATGGCAGAAGGGAAGTTGAGGTGTAGCTGGGGTTCCAGAGCATGCAAGTGTTCAGAGGCTCAGCTGAACAAGACAGAGATCGCTCCTGCAAGATGTTTTAATGCTGGTAAGTTCACCACACTGAACCAAGCCTGAACAGTAGCTCTGCCACCTTCTGTTTCTGGGCTCAGAATCAGGTCTGTTTTTCGCAAACAGTGCTCAGAACAAGTCATAAAGTGTCAAAGGTCAGCAGTTTTCAGAAAAGCAGAACTCAGTTCCTGCTAATTATCCTTGCCTACTACAAGCAAATCTTTCAGTTTGGGAATGGGTGCAAACATTTGCAAAATAGAACTAGAACCTGTTATCACTCAATTATGTAACATTTGAGATGTTACATAAAAGGCAACTTGAAATTTTTATTAAGCTTTCCAGCCTGAAGGCAGGCAGCTACCGCTAAGTGAGGGGCTGAGCAGGGACATAGGAGCTCAGAGGACTGTATTTTTGAAGGGTCTGTCAAGTGCTGTGACAGTTAAAAACACGTCACATGCGTTTCCACAAAACTGCCTCTCCTGCATTTGCTGATAAGGAACATCTGCAACTGGAAGATACCACTGCTGAGTGGCACGTGCTCTCAGAAAATAAGCACTCCTTGTACAAACCATGAATGATGATATATAACAGTAGTATAATCCCCCTGGAATCAGTCATTACCACAGTTAAACTGTTAGCCTATTAGCTATCCTCAGTGTTGCCTTACGGCTCTTAACTGCTGGCTAAAACTGATTTTCATAGGGATTATACTTACATAAGGACCCAAGAGGGTCTAAATTAAGCTATGGAGTTTTAGTTACCAGGCAGACCAAAAAGTAACCATTTAAGTTCTCTGTAACATACTTGGTCTCCATCAAACACTCCAGTTGTGATGCTCTCAGAGTACATATAAAGTCAATAACTTTGCAAACAAGTATTTTCCACAAAAATCGTATAAAAATATAAATAAAAACACTTCCTAATTATTTCTTTTTTGAAGCTCCAAACAGATTTAATTAAAATAAGCACAAAAAAGTTGGTCCCTACTTAGCGCCACCATTATATAAAGAACAACTAAAAATAGAAACTGAAGCTGTAACAGAACAAAATGAGCATTTAACATTCTTGCAGTGAACTGAATCCCTTCAGACTGCTTGCTCAGAAGCCTAGCATTATTTAGTATTTCTTGAAACCCAAATTCATCATTTATGCTTTTTGATGAAAAATTAGACACAGACAACATTATTGCTTTTATTACAAAATGTAAATAAATTCAAAAATTGTAAATCTGAGTGTACAATTTAATTTAAAAATGAAGTCTAACTGACAGTCCCCTACGAGCTGGTGTCAGATGTGGCTAAAGAAATAGATGAAGAAGATGAAGAAGAAGATAGAGAATATTCATTATTTGTTATTGATGCTTTATCTTCATATTTTGGAGGTGATTCAGAGGAGAGGTATAGCATTGGTAAAATATCTGAAGGTGAGCTGCTTCCAGAAATTGTATATATGGTTTCATAGTCTCTAACAGCAACTGTTCTTTCATCATCTGCAAGCTGTGCTCTATAAAACACAAAACTGCATATTAGCATAATTCATTTCTTTACAGTGAGTGAAATTCCACTTGACTTACATAAACATACATGTATACACATACTCCCTAAAAATCCCTGAAGCAAAGAACTTGCATAAACACTAGGATTTCATTCTGTGCTCTACATTATGAGTCATATGAAAATTCTCTTAGTTCAGAGGGGAAGGGCAAACAAGCTCCCTTCTAACCTTTTGCATCACCAGTCATACCCTGGCTTATAGGTATTAGCTGCTTCTGGCAGGGCTATCTCACAATCTTATTAAATCTTCTTCTGATCCTTATTTCCTAATGTATCTTCCCTTTTGTTGTCTATCACATACATACAGTCTCCTTCCCTTATGAAAGACAGTCACCAGACTTAAAATTGCATTGCAAAAATCACAATCCTTAGCCATTTGAGATGTTACATAAAAGGCAACTTGAAATTTTTATTAAGCTTTCCAGCAATGCATGACAGACATAAGGAGTGGCACTCCTGCTCAGAGATGGAGAACCAGATGCAACTGGACACGACCAGACTGCTAAGTTCCCAGTGACAGCGAAGGAGGGCTAACCATCATAACTGGATCCCAATTGGTTGCACTCACATGGTTCTGGTACTCTGCTCATCTCGCCCTGGAGACGGACCTCAGCACATTGCTTTAACTGCTTCCCAAGAAAGGGGAAGAACTCCTTGTTCCTCATGACTCGCTCCCAGAGCTGACTCTTGCCTGTGTGCATACATCTGTACCCCTCACCAACACTGTGTGAGGAGCAGCAATATAGAGCATAGTCACCTCATCTTGAGTGCCGTTACTGGTGCGTGAGGGTGTGTGTTTAAAGGAAAAAGAGGGGAACGTACTACAGACAAATGCTGAAGTGCTATAAAACAGATTGCAGGAAAAAACCAACCACTTCTGGGATCAGACCATGACTCAACCTTCTATGAGCTCTCTCATCCAGCACAGCCTCAACCACAGCACTTGCTGACTGAACATGGAGCAGTGGACTGAAGAGGCAAATCACATCTGCCTAATAACCAACCACATATGAAAAGGGTATCCCCTTCCAGCTTTGGGATCTTTAACCATGGCACTATGTTAGGAGGAACAAGGCCACTGCTTCTCCTCCACGAAAGGGCTTGGGAGCCAATTTGCACTAATCAAGACGCCATGGCTGCTACCAAGTACTGAGCCATGGGAGACAATCATCAAGTGAAATACTCAGAGGTGGCATCAACTCATAGGGTCTCTGTGAGGACCCTGGAGAGCAGGGAAGGGCAACAGCTAGAGCACCCCCAGCCACAGAACAGCAAAGCAGGAGACACGGGTTTCTGCATCCAAAGTTGAGGTGTTTTGTCCACTCCACTAGAAACTGCCCCAACAAGCTGGGCTACAAACTACCTCTTTGTGTACATATATTCACAAGACAGAGAATTCCAGACAGGCAATCAGTGATGATTGAGTTGATGGGATCACACAAAGTTCAGAGCACGTGGGTTGAAGCAGTTGATCCAGCAGCAGGAGATTTCGTAGGAGAATGGGTGAAGGAAAAGGGGTCACCTGGCACGTGCACCAGCAGGGAGAGCGCACAAAAAGTCTCAGGAACTAGCTTTTTTGCCATTCCTCCACTGCCCTTTGTTTTTCCTTTTTCAGTGCAGGATGTGCTGCTTGCATTCATTCATATCCTTTGATAATCCACACATTTTACCAAGCACATGGGCAGGCAGCCCACACCTGAACTCAGGGCCTGAAAATACAGGGTAGAAAGGACTTGTGGCCCTGAGTTTTGTGCATTGTACTTTTACAGACAGGTGGTACAAGAGTGACTGTCTCTCAGCTGCTTGTAAGGCTACAGCAGAACATGTATGGTCTTGTATTTCTCCCAGTTATGCACTCCATCTTGGTCTTCTAAATGTATTTAAACTGCAATGGTTTTTGAGGGTGCCCTTGGACAATACTTGAATTGGCTGTCTAAGGGCTACCAGAGGTCCAGGTTCACACTCGGGGCAAGTCATTTCTCCACACACATTCATTTGCTTTGTACGTACATCTGGGATGTACATGCCAGAAGGGCGTTACAGCACATGCTAGAGCTGTAGCACAGTGAGGCTCAGTGTGGTGCCTAAGTCCAGGACTACCAGCAGCTGGTATGAAACACCTTCCAGCTGTGGATGCCTTCACCCAGACCACAGAGATTTCATGTAAATTCCTTCTTTCAGCAGCAGGAGTTTATTTTCTCTCCTGCTTGCTCTGGGTGTCCTTTGATTGCAGTAGTATAGTTCTGAGAGCTGATATATTTCACTTGCAGTCTGAGAACAGGCACAGACTTTTATACTTAAGAAAATAAAGTGTTTCTTCACACAACAATTTGTGCACTGGTCTTTGGAAAGCACTTTTGCTTGAAAAACCCCAACATCTCATCCCCACATCTACCTTTGTCATTCTGAATTGGCAGATGTTTAAGGCACTGAGTAATCAACAGATTCTCATCAGCTTTGTACAAAAGGTCCTCTCTCTGAAACAAGTTAAGTGGAAAAACAGCAGATTGAATGAACTGTGCATAGCTAGGGTTTATTATGCATTGCATCCCTCAGCACAAGTCATCAACCTCAAGCTGGACCTCAAGTCAGTGGGAATCAAACACTGAGTGTCTCCCTTTCCTAGATGCATGATAATTTTTTTTTGTTTGGGGGCCAGTCCCATTGTGCGCTAGAGTGTTGCACTAGTAGCAAGGAAGAGTGAGTAAAGTGTATTTTCTGTGTTAAAAAAGTGATTTTGAGAAATGGCAGAAGGACAGTCTGGCTTGTGGTAATAGCAACAGAAGGAGGCATCTGCTGTGTCCAACAGAGATGGAGAAAATGTCTGGAGGAGGGCACTAGGAAATGGAAGATAATATAAGGAGCTGTTGACAGTGATTGACTAGAGAACAGAGTGCCTTGCACAGTGTGGCTGAGCCTCACGAATCCACCAGGTATACTTCAAAGGATGACAAAACCACAGACATGGCTCACACAGCTTGGTAACAAGAATAAGCACCATTGCTAACACAAGTATCCTCCTCCTGTAGCATTTAGGTCTTCAGGCAGGAAGAGGGTTCGTGCTTGCTTGGTTCAAAAGGAAGATTAGCACTAGCGTTTTGAAGTACCAACATCAGGCACACAGCTGGTACAGCTGGTCACAGAACATACTGCCTCATGTGAGCGAAGTCTGGAGTATAGTGGAAAAGCTATTAAAGCAATGGCTCAACAACTACTATGACTGGACACAGCCACGCAGCCTGGGGCTCTTGCTGCAATGATGGTGCCTAGGATACTGCAATGATGGTGCCTAGGATACTGCAGGTACAGTCTTGCAAACTAGTCATCCAAAGAAAAAGTCTTACACTGACTCACAGTTCAACAAACAAGCTGACACAGGACCTTCCAAAAGATAAAGCCAACTCAATTCTGGATCATTAAGGGGCTGAAAGTAAGTTGGGGGCTCTAGGTGTGTGGCATCTAGCTCTCCTGGCCAGATCTAGTTCTGACTCCTGGTACATGACTCTTGCAGTGACCTCTTTTACCCTCAAGTTAGCAGCCTGCTAGTGGTAACCCACAGGGGATAAATAACCTTGCAAGTTTTGTGGTACAAACAACTTTTTGTCAGTCTCCCTGAGTTTAGTGGCAGCAGCATCTAGCAAATCAGCTGTACTCAACAGGGAAGAGTGGCTGCATGGGTAAGGTACAACATCTTGAGATGAAGTTGGCATTGCAACCTCCCTTTTAAGCTCCCTGAAGTCTCCTGCTCTTCTGCCATATCAAGGTATCCTTTTATCTTGACACACTGCCACAGTAGGGACAAGGCACACCAGCATGGCAGGTCTCATTTCCTCAGGACAGTGAGGCAGTGAAATACGGGTCACAGGGAGAACAGGACACACTAAAGTGGCATTCCCAGGGTCACAGGGCCTGTAGATAGATGTCATGAAGGGCTTGCTGCATTGGTTCTACAAAGGGTTCCTAAAATCTGGCAGTCTGGCTATCATGCCACTGGGGCACTGCTGTCAGGGGCACCTTCTCTTGGACAATCTGTGGAAGAAATCTATTCTAAGTACATTTAAATAAAGGCCACTGATTTAAGGCTTTGTTTTCACTTCAAAAGTTCTTTTCAGTCATAATAAACTGGTAAGAATTTAACCCTCATGAAGGACACTCAGTACTTTGTGATTCCCCTTTTATACTAGGATATTTTAATGCCACTTCAAGTAAGATATCTGCAGTGAGTCAAGTGATGTAGTAGAAAACTTTGTAGTGTTTAGAAACCTAATTCACAATGATTGTTTAAGAACATGTTTTTGGATACACTGAGAAACATATCAGATTTCCCAAGACAAAGAAGGAAACAGTCTTACCCATCACTGAAGATAGAGTGGTATGGTGGAGGATTTTCACTTGTAGGCAAACCACTGGACATAAGACAACGTGTCACAGTTGGTGACACAGGGTCAGCAAAATAAGGAGGTGGTGGAGGTGGGAATACCATTACAGCATCACCTAGGAAAAAAACACCAATTACTACCTCTGAAAAATTGAATGCCATTGTTTATTCTAACTGTATTCTAGAATATTTCCTGTCTTTGGAATTACAATATTTGTACTTGTCCATCTTTTAAGATAAAGTGCAATGATCTCACATACAGAACTGTTATGTTCTGGGCTGTTAAAGTACATTGGAGGTATGTTCAAAACCAAAAATATCCCAAAATATTCATAAGTGGAAGATTTCATTTAGAAAATACAGCTGGGGAAAGGAAGTGTTCCATCTAGCTGAGAGACACAAACCTCTTCACTGTTGACTGTCTTCAGAAACTGGAAGTGCAAAGCATACAATTACTGTTGGCTCACTTTGAGGGTAGGCAAGTATTTAGTTTTCCTCACATATTTAAAATAGGGCAGTTTAAGTTTCTCTACATATACTGCAGTGTTATAAACAAAACTATTCAAGTCATTAATAGTTCTGATGATTGATTTTGTGTGCCTTGACAATTTCCCTGTTAAATTACTTGTAGCTGAAGGCACACTACTAACACATATAATGGTGTTGTAGTACTAATAATTCCCTGTTAAGTGTACTGTGCAGCATATCTGCCAATTTCAGCTTTGTAATTGAGGAGTTTCATATTTTACTAAACAGAAAGTTGGTGTCAGTCACTAAGCTTGCATAATCTATATAAACATTCACAGCTGTCTGGCACCATTTTCCCTTTGTAATTTGTGTGCAGGGACAGGTCAGGGAACATCAGAAATGTTGAGTGAGGTGGGGAGTACTTTCTAGCTGAGTCACCACTGTTTCAGAACGTCATTATGCCAACTAGACCTCAGTCTTCAGCCTTTCAGTTTTACTTTTCCTGATAGAAGTATAAAGGAATCCACTAATTTTGCTTTCTCACCTTTAAAGACAATCTGAATTCCTTTCTACAACCCTTTGATTTATCCTGGTGGAAAACCAACATTAAAGCTTCTAAGGATCACTAAGTTACAGGTCCATAAATTGATTTGACAGGCAGAAGGAAAAAAATTTTGCACAATGGATTTCAAGTCCAATCAGTCAGATGACAGTCAAGCAATACTATGATTGACTCACTAATCCTTTCCGAGAGCTAGAAAGTTATCAGAATTATCTATGCATAGAATGTATTCATGGGGTATTAAAAGCAGTGCTATATGCAGGGGAGCATTCCCTGCTAGCATACCACATTTACTCAAACACTGTGCAATTAACAGAAGCATCTTGCAATTACATCTCTGACTGATGGAAGATGTGGCCATGATTAAAAAAACCAATACACTGCTTATGAATCAGATTCTCCTGTTTAAGGGGTCAGAGCTCAAGGCTAAAATAAATCTTAAATATAGTCACAGAAGTCATTAGACCTGTGATTTGCAGTGTCAGCTACATCCTTTGGGAAAGGAAGTGGGATTGGACTAATTTGTGTCAGATTACGTGGCTTTTTTTGCCCAGTCAGACTTTTCTTTTTATGCCAAAGGAGAGGTTTTGTCTTGAGAAAAAGGTAGCTGAACTGACCATACCAAAAACATATGAGACAAAGCAACATTATTCTGTTTTGGCTGGGCTTGACATGCCAGAACTGACATGCTTAGAGCTCAAATGAGTAATATTCACAGGTAAATCATTAGTGGGCCCCCCCCCCCCAACTCTCAAATGTAAAGTTCACACATTATTTACCCACCTACTGTAACCTGAAAAGATTCAGGGCTCTGAGGATGTTCTTCGGTTTCACAAGATTCTTGGTTGAGATTTAAGTTTTGTTTCTTTTTAACATGAGCTATCACGAAGAAACACAACCCAGTGAGCACAATCAAAGGTCCCATGATTTGAAGTGACAGGAATCCACAGCCCTGGATGTCCACATCAGAGCTTTCGGTGTGGTTGAGCTGTATGCTGTGCCAGCCGGGACTGCAGCCAGGAACCCAAATGCCCAAGATGCTAATTAGCATTCCACTAGTTAAAAACAGGAATCCAAATATGAGAAACTGGGCAAACTGGCAGCTCCCACGACAGAAAACAAGGCTGTACACCTGCTCATTTTGCAATTGTCTTTGTCTTATATACAGCCTGGCCCTTGATCGTGCCAGTAAAACACAAACCAGTCCAGCTACAGCCAGCACAGGTCCAGCAGCCTTAAGGACCTCATTACAGTCATGGAAGGTTCCAGATGGGCATGACTGGAGAATAAAGACTGAAAGCAAGAATCCAGCACAGAGCAACACAGCTCCAAAAACAAAAAGGAAAAAAATAAGTTTCCCATGTTGTCCATTATTTCCTTCACCTCCTGGTGCAGGAACAGCCACTGGATACATTACAACAGAATCTCCTCAAGCAGATGAGTTGGGGTTTGTTTTGGTTTTTTTTTTTCCTGTTAGCATTAAGTGGCACAAAACTATAGTAGATCTGTGAACATGAAAATACACGAATCAAAAGAAGGAAAAAAACCATCAGTGGGACTAGCTACATAATAATATTTACTTCTGCATTTGCTATTCAGCCTATATTGTGTACTCACAGTATATTTTCTGTTTTGGAGTACCTCCACTATGGATTAAAGGACCTCATCAAGTTTGCTGCTGTTGAACACCAATGAAAAGACAGAACTTGTTTACAGTTAGACTGAAAACAACTCCAATTGCTGTTGCACAGCTAAATGAATTGCTTCTTTAGATACACAGCCTTATGATTAAGGGGACATTATTTTCAAAGGCTGAATCTTGGGAACAAGGACAAGGTAGCTTTCTCCTTGAAAACAGAAAGCTAGGGGAAATTTCTGTAGTGAATGGCAGAAGTGACAGCTCTTGAGAAAAAGAACCTTAATGCAATGAGTATTGACGACCATTGGACTTTTTACCAAGTAAATCTTCTAATACATACCTTTTCAAAGCATATAAATCTTGCTTGTCCTTCCACAGGCAATAAAGACTTTTCTGTTTCTGTCCTTAAATCAGCTTCCTGTCCTATACAGCTGCAAGAGCAAATACACAGAAGATTTTTGGTTCCCTTCCGAAAAGACAAAAAAAAAAAAAAAAAAAGCCATACTAAAGACTGTGTACTTCAAGTTTCACTGATTCCATAGTTAGAGTTGGTAAGCATACTGCTCCCACACTTCCTCTCAACTTCCCCTATTCCTGAATCCTTTGTCTGTGCTCCAAGAAAGTTTTAAAAGAAATATAACAAAAGTGGTTCCCAGAAGGCTTCTGATCCCACAGGAGTCTAAATTCACAAGTAAACCAGAAGCAAATAGAATCCAGTGCTGAGGCCAATAACAGTCCATATTGTAGCATGGATGACAAATCTGCTGGATGTGAACAAGCTGGAGCAGGGAAAGCCTGACTGAAAATTAGGACAGAGTGCCATTCAGTGAGCTCTAGAAAAAAAAAAATTATTTCTGCCATTACTCACACAGAAGTTTGTGCTGCTCTGACACTCTGGCCTACGGGGCTCAGATGGACACCTGCACTCCATACCACAGTGACTAGCAATCATGGAGATCTCGGTCCAAGTGGCTACCATCCACCAAAAACCAACCCAAAACCCAGGGAAATTTCAGAGTATGGAAAATAACAAGTCCGGATGGACCATGAGAAAGCTGTTCCCTACCAAGTGTAGGAGGTATTTAAACATGCTCATTTTCCCCTCACCAGGAGTCTCCTGTGACAGACAACTTCATCTACCACTTGGATATATCAAGAAGAATATAAAGGGAATGGAGGAGTTTGTTACAGATGGAAGCAGGGAATCAGCTTAGTTACTGCTGTTTGCTAGTTAAACTTCAGCCTTTCAGCTACCAGCTTGTACTGCCCTGCTACTAATTCAGATGACTGGAAGCTAGAAGTCAAGTTAGATTGATTCCTCCATACATATGCCTCAACAACAGTTATTCCACAAGAAAAACAAAGTATTATGTGCTTTCTGGAAGGAAACTATTGAACATGTGTCAGCCACAACAGGCTTCATGTCACTCCCCACTGAGATGAAAACAAAACACAACCATGAAACCCACTAGTCACTCAAATACATAATTATCTGTCTGCAATGCAAGGCAATCTATCAAGTCACTGTAATTAGCCACTTGTAAGAGTAGGACCCAATTAAAGAATCATCTGAGCAGATACATGACTAATGAAGTTATTAGAAGTTTTACTGCTGAACATCAAACCAGACCTCCAGCAGTATGGGAGAAGGCAGAGAGTAGTATGCAGGTAAAAGACACAATAAACAGGAGACTTGACAGGCAAGGAAACAGGCTGCACCACACACCAAGAAGGGCACTGCAGGAAGCAACAAAGTCTTCCAGCTGGCTATCTCGAACAGCAAAACCAAGGGACCTCCCTTAATACATCCCACTACCGTGGTCAGTCAATTTGTAAACTATGTCTGCTAAGTGTTTCTTCACTGTTCTGAATTCAGTCTATCCCTCTATTAAGATAGGTTTGAAAAACTGCTAACTGAGGCTCCCTTGGTAAGAGTCACAGCTTCACTCTGGGGAAAAAAAAAAAAGCGTTATAGAGCACTAAACTTAGGACAGTATCTCACTAAAAAGAAATTAAAAAAAATCTGATAGATTTTGAACTGAAGACCTTTAGCCAAGCACACTTTCAGTACTGCATGAGCTGAAGTCAGTTTGAAGGCTCTACTTCTGAGCAGAGGAAATGGATTAGGTTGTTCACTCCTCCTTCCTTGATTTCACTGGTCTTTCCTAAGTTAATAAAACTGGTTCTTATAACTGCATATGTTCCTTCATGTCTAGACATTTGTTCCATTTTCATATTTGATCTGAGGTGGTTCAGATTTACTGGCCTACCAACAATGCACAAAACTGAGTAAAGAGCCTCTGAAATACTAAAAACCCACCCCAAAATCCAACAAAGTCCAGTTTCAGACACAACTGTCTTGAGATATTTTTCTGCTGAGGCACATTAACCATTATAACAGCAATACACTATAATTAGAGAGAACTCTGAATCCTTTCTTCGCAGTTCCCTCTAGGGAAGAGGACATGGACATAAGTACAAGTAAATTAGGACAAAAGGAAATAATGTGAAGAAAAAAAAAAAAGCAAACGTTTAGCCCTTAAAAAGAAAAATCTAGATATTTGTTCTCATTACTCCAACATAGCGCCTGCTTCTCTTCCACCGATCTTCTTGTTATGACATTAAGTTAAAACACACATTAGAAATGAAGCATGTGCATATTTTCTTAATTCTTTCAGGCCACAAAAGAAAAGAACATTCAGAACACTCTGTTGTGGCTTTGAAGATGAAAGCCACAGATTTTATGCTGCAAAATCCAAGGGAGGACTAATTTTAATTTACACTACCACCAAATTTTAATAGAAAACTCAATGCAGGATTAAGCTTTGTTTCTTGCGTTTCAAGAAAAAGTATTTTAAGAAAGAAGCAAGCCTTATATTGACTATGTACTTGAAATACTGCCATTAGATCAGGTATCTCCACAGGCATATTAACATAAGGGAATTTTCCCTTCATATTGACCCTAAGTCTGAGAGCAGACATGGAAATACCAGGTCAGAAATTGCTAGAACAAAATGCAGTGGTGTGCAGGCAGTTAAGTAGGAGGGAAGAGGGAATTGGAAACATAGCTTGTAGAGGAAGTCTGGTTATGAGCTTAACTTAAATGATATAGTGCTTTACCCTTTTGTAAGTCTGGCCCATGCCAGGTATACAGAACAGGAAATAACATCACAATTTCTTGTCATTTTTCTGTGTAACATTTGTATTACTACTTTCACATTACGGAAACTCCAAGGATTTTAAAATACAAGTTTTAATGATGAAACTGGGACTTTCTGCTTTCTGTTTGAACCTTCAGAATTCATACTATTCAAGATTTCCACTGCAAACACCAAGGCTATAAATTTAGTCCCCCTTACTCATATGAAATTTGATAGCCTCATGCAGTCATATGAATTCAGGAACTAAGGATTAAAAGAAAAAAAGTATTGGAAGAATTAAAAGACTGCTGACCCTCTATTTTATGTTTCCCAGAGTGGGCCCTGTTCCTGCTCTTTCACTTGCAAAAGTACCCAAATCATTTCATGCAGAAGTTTCAGGTCTAGTTTGTGTTGTTATTTCAAGAACTACAGTTCCCTGTCAGTTGTAGTCCACAATGGAAACCTCATTAGAAGTCACAAACCATCCTTTTCAAGAGTTTTCCATTTAATGTTTTCACCCATACTTCCAATTTTTGAACTGCTACTGGAAAGTTTATGGTATTTTAAATTTTTTTTTATTTTTTTTTCCTCCTGGTTTCAAATTAAGCCATGACTCCTGGTAGAACAAGCTACCTGGAAGGAAAAGTCCTCTCAACTTCATTCAGTTTAACTTCCATGTCAAACCATGACTGGCTCTTCACTTCCTCTTACTCCCTGTATCTAACATCCGCCTCTGTACCCATGCCATATTCTGTTCTTTATCATATCACAATTTCCTCCCCGGATTGTACTCTTAACACTCAGCAGCAGTACCCATCCATGAGCACAGCTGATTAAACTGAAGTAAACTGGAGTTTGCCACCTTCATCCCCACACTCTTCCCTCCCCATGGTGTTTTTAATCACTTATATGAAGAGCTAGGGGAAAATGCCCAACAGGATCTACTTTCAGTTTTCTACTTTCAAGCAACATCAAGACTACAAGCACTAACAAGTTTCAAGATGCCAAATATATCCAATTTGACCTCTCGTGTATGCGGTCTCTAATTAGTGCCTGCCAGTGCTCTTATCTCACAGGGCATACAACTCTGATATCCCAGGAGGAGTATTTCCAAGGTTTAGACACTGCGCGAAAAGATCCCTAAGCAGGCAGCGGATGCCGTAAACTCTGCCCATGTAGGCTGACACAATGATTGTGTCAACTCACAGTACAAGAAGGGTAACACCATGCTCTTATTTATGACCACTGCAGGTAGGGCAGGAGTCAATGTCTGGAGAGGTGCTGGAAAGCAGCTGCAGTAGGAATTTCCAGAAAATGGGATTAATCCTGCCAGTCTTCAGACACATGTGCGCCAGGGATCCTTCTCACCACAAACTGAGAGAGCCAGGGATTCTGACCTGTGCCAGGCAGAACTGTGCTCTGTGAAAAAGCTGCAAACTACTATCCCTGTGGGCTACAAGATAAAAACAGCTAGAGTAAAAGCTGGTCCACAAATGTTCCCCGCTCACTTTGATAGGGAAGGGAGTCCTGATGCCACAGTTGCATGCAGAGACCCCAAAAGGGTGCCTAGACACACACAGGAGCTTGCAAAGCAAAGTTTGGTAACCCATTGGTTGGATGCCATGGAGGGACCAAGGTCAGCACCTAAATTTAACAACAGGCTTTG